GGGGGGGGGAGGCTCAGGATGCAGACTGCCCCAGAAAGAGAGGGAAACCACAGCCCGCTATCACTGCAGCAGCTTGGGGCCAGGTGAGAAGCCCCTGTCCATGGTTGCTGCAGCTCCAGCAGACACAGCCGGGGGAGGGGTGCATGTCCCCCAGCTAGGGCAGAGCCAGGTTTGTCTGCCCCCTTGTGCTTGCCAGCCAGAGGGCGGAATGCAGCAAACTGCACTTTCTCCTCATTCCCTGACAAAGGGGAGCAGCCAACAACATCCCAGTAAGAACGGGTGGGGCTTCAGCCCTCCCTCATCCCCCCTAAAAGGTGCGTGGGGAGAGGAAGACTCAGGGCTGGAGCAGTCTGGGACAGGGGTCGGGGGGGAGCAGCCAACTCCTTTCACCTGCCTGGTGGTTCTGTCTCTTTTCTGTAGGGTTTTCTGAGAAGCAGTCCCATTCTAGGCACATCCCGTTGTCCTGGCACAGACCAGCCCTGACCCGGCTTGAAGTTATGATCAGAGGAAGTTGTGTCCCAAATGTGGTGAGCCAAGCTCTTACCTTTTAAGAGGAGTTCTTGAACAGATGCGCACATATAAAGTACAGTGGAGAGAGGAGATAAATACTCTCACCCTGAAACATATAGTGGCTCTGTCTGTCTGTCTGTCACTGGTAACAATTGGCTCTATCAGCCAGGAGTTCCAGACACAGGTGTCTACTGGACCAGTTCACATGCCATAATTAGTGGTGTGGCTTTCAGGAAGAGCTCAGCAGTCAGAATCTGCCACTGAAGTCTGTGGCATTTGTTTCTTGGTTTGAGAGCTTGACGTATTAAAACAAACACAAAACACAGAGGCCGGTTTCTACAATTGATACTTGTATAAAGTGATGTTGGTTTTTTTTAAATGCACAATTGATACTTGTATAAAGTGATGTTTTTTTTTTAAAAGTTAGCCCACGGCCCAGCCCTTTTCTCATTTGACGCCTGATGCTGATATGCTACTAGATTTTAAGGGCCCTTTAGGACTGTTTAGTGACTCTGACCTGCAGCATCACACTGGCCAGAGAATTTCACCTCCTGATTCCTGCATCCAGCTCAATAATGTGCAATGCTTTAAAGATGCCGTATGCCCCACTTTCCACCAACTTCCTGGGCCAGCTCTTAATAACCCTCCCTGATAAAAATGCAATTTCCAGTTTCAGTTTGTCGTTGTCTGCTTGATTCTGTGTTTTCAGAACTCTTCTCATTGTCTAGTTGCTCCCAGAGCATATCAAGTCCCTGCAGAAATAGATTCAACTCCTTAAGTCTCTCAATATACGGCAAGTTTCCCAGACTGAAGTATTCTTGTGCCTTTTTTTTTCCTGAACCCTTTCTGAGCTTTCAAAAATATGGATACCACAATTGGAGGCGGTATTCCAACGGGGGTGTCTCCAATGCCATAAATTGGGGTAACATCACCTCTTCAACTCCAGTACTCCCTGTCCTCAAAGACTGCATTCGGCCTCTTAGCCACAGACCACATTGGGAAAGCATGTTTGTTTCATTTCCCCCACGACCTCTAATGCCTGTTTCATTAGCAGAAGTGAGACATTATAAATCTGTGCTTAATTTCCCTCCTTTATTCACAGGTTGTTTCCAGGCCATGCCTGGAGCTTTCTGCTGGGTGAACTCTGGCACACGATCCAAAGTAGATGATCAGCACACCTGTTTTTATTGTGATCCTGTTTGTTGTTCTTATGGCCAAGGATTTCAAACCGGACAGAGTGGCTAATGCTTGGACTCTCTTTATTTTTTATTTCTGGCAGATGGTGGGACTGTGAGGGAGAAGGAGGAGGCCAAATGTTCTGAGGAAGGGGGAAAACTCAGGAGATGTTGCCAAGTGGATCCAAAGTGAAAGTTTCCCAAAGCCCAGCCCCCTGGAACTTGGACAGGAATAAGTGCAGGCAGAGGAGTGCTCCAGCGGAGAGAGGGGTAAACACCAGCATTCCCTGTAAGTTGAGTGCTCGGGCAGCTGCCCAGGAAAGATTCCAGTGCTGCCCAGCTGATTGCCAGAGTGCCCAAGTTGGCACCATGAGTTTCTACTAGTGGTGCACATCTGCACATGCCTCAGTGCATGTAACAAAATTTATTCCACACATGGATGGAAAAAAATAGAGAACATTGCAGGCAGCTCAGAGATGGATGGAAAAAATTAGAGGGATCCTGCAGGCAGCTCAGAGACATCATTTTCTGCCACAAGGGAGAGAGAGAGACGGAGCCCGTGTGCTGACTGAGGCGTGAGCCTTGCTCCAAGTTCAGACCTTTCCTGCTGCCTGGAGAGAGAGTCCGAGACTGTACTGATCACGCCAAAAGTGTCGCTGCCCAATCAGCTCTTACCCCACCTCAGAGAAGCTGCGTGGGACAGGAACCCTGTGGGAAATTGATCCTTCCACACTCACTGCCCCCGGGGAGCAGAGACCCCGCCCTGCTCCAAAGGAAACATGGAGCATTTGTGCATGGGAAGCAGGGTGGGTGGGCTTAGGACTAATAGCCTGTGAGCACGGGGGCTGGATGGCTTGCGTGTTGGGCAGATCCTAGGCAGAGGGGGCAGGTTCCTAAAGGGAGCTGGCTGGAGTGAGGGGGTTGTGGGAGCGGACAGCACAAGGTGGGAGGTGAGCTGGGGGTGGGGTGGCCCGTTTTTTCACTGTCTCTGTGATGTGAGCTGTATAGACTCCGTACAATTCTAGCAGGAAAGGCTTCCGCAAACAGGCGCAGCAGTGGGCGGGCCCCAGATAACAACGAGTAATTTGCTGCTCAGTTTTAGTCTCTACGGTGCCCCAGGACTACTCCTGGTACAGACAAACAGAGCGACCCCTCTAAGATTTCTTTGCAAATAATTTACTCAGAAAACATTCCAGCTCTCTTCCTGCTGGAGCCAGCAAACTGCAATTCCTCTGGCCTGATGCCTGTGTGAAATCACTGGACACATTTTTTTTTTTGGTGGGGGTGTAATTCTTAGGATGGATGGTTTGTTATCAGCAATATTTGATGGCCCAGTCTCAGCTGCTTGGGTGAGTGGTGATTGGACACATAGAGTTTTCTCCGGTCCCTGGCACAAGAGGGAAAACTCATGCTGAGTACAGGGGCTTGAAGAAGTTCTCATAGGGAGAGAGACAGGTCAGCAGGGTAGGAGAGAAGTGGATTGGGACAGTAGATCATTTGCAACCTCTCCCTCAAGGCAACATTGGCTTCCCCTCCGGATAACTGAGGCTGCCGCCAGATTCATTGGCTGGACGCAGGCTTTCAGTGCCTCTTTCTCTTGCCATATTTGCACCCCGTAATCTCAGGTGCGACCGGGGTCCTCTCAGAGTGTGTCTGTGTCAGGGCTCCAGTGGGGATTTGGGAGCCCTGTCCCCGTCAGGATCTCAAATAAAACGGTGGTTACCGCCCACGAGCGCACCATGAAGAGGAATAATCACAGCAGCAGAGGCTGGAGAAACTCGTCCACATGCAGCCAGCCTCAGCCACAGTGCCGGCCTAGGGCTGTCCTCACAGCCGTGCCTGACTGCCAGCCGCCGGTCACCCCGATCCACCAGGCAGAAATACAGCTTGGCTGCCCCCGCCGTAGCTGGTGTCCTAGGGGAGTCAGGCACCGGGGCATCCCTCTTCCTCCCAGAGGGGGTAGCGCAGGTTGTCAAGTCGGAGGCCGATGAGGACGGAGCCAGCGTGGCAGGGGAGGCAGGCTCGTCCGGGGGTGACACACTTTCAGGCTATTCCTCCGGGGTGGACGGGGAAGCTCCCAGTGAGCCAGCGACCCCGGAGGGCATGGAGGAGGAGGAGGACGAAGAAGAGGAGGAGGAGGACGAGGAGGAAGAGAGTGATAGGCTGGGGCGCCCTAGCCCGCAGGAAGGGGGCGCCCAGCATCCGATGCTGATTGCCTCGTATTTCACCGGTGTCCTGAAGCCGGGTGATCTGCCCCTCTGGAGCGGGGGCGACCTTAGTGCCGGGGCGCGGGCGAGCACAGGGAGCGGCAGGGCTGAGCGCTCATCCCACGGCATCGGCCCCCTGGCCACCTGCCTGCCTGCAGCGGCCACGCAGGGCCCTGCGCCCCGGAGGTACCACCGGCAGAAATCGTGGGTGTGGGAGTATTTCTCCATTGACCCCGGCAACCCCACCCGCGTCACTTGCATGATCTGCCAGCAGATGGTGAAGCGCGGGACGGACCCCAAGCGGCTGGGCACGTCCTCGCTGGGAAACCACATCAAGCACAACCACAGCGTCGTCTACATGCGTCAGAAGCACTTGGGGGGCCCGCAGCCTGGCGGGGCAGAGCCCCCCCATGCACCAGCTGGGGCACATCAAGCACAACCACAGCGTCGTCTACATGCGTCAGAAGCACTTGGGGGGCCCGCAGCCTGGCGGGGCAGAGCCCCCCCATGCACCACGTGGGGCCGCCCCGAAGTGCAAGCAGCGGAGGGGGCCA